ACGCATGCAGAATGCTTTGCATGCATATATATATACATACGTCGATTCCCCTATGATTTGTCTGCAGCACAACACGCACACTGCCACTCTCTGGCTATGGCGTTGGTGTCTTGACAACATCGAAGTCAACGTGGCCCACATTCAGCGCGGCGACAGTGAAAATTATTACGGGTCTGGAAATCCCAATGGGCTTACTCTCGGCCGTACTCGACACGCTATTTCATGCCCTAGACCCTCTACTCACCCTCTATTTGACCGAGCTAACAGCGACTTGGCAGAAGACCGTCCCGCAGCCCAGGGTCTGGTTCAATGTTGTTACAGGATCAGGGGTGCCGCCACTGCGTTGCAAGGGCAGCTCCGGTACTGTGGCTGTAGGACATCACTCCATGTCTCTTTTATGCTGAAGATCAACGGGTCGGGTGGTTGTTCTCTGTCATGGCGGTCGGGACGGCCAATTCATGCCCAGGTCATTCCCCAACACCGAGCCCATCCATGCCGGTTCAAAAGGTTAGAAGACGCCAATTTTTCCAGGCATAAGAGTACTTACTATAGGGACATGGAGCAAAATACCCATCCCCACTTCTGCGTATGACAGGATTTTGAGTACTAATGGTTGAAAACGGACGCTCAATGGGTCGCCAACGGGTCAGTGGCATTGAAGCCAGGATCCAAGAATAGCCGCACGTAGGAAGGCCTTGGCACAGAGCACCAATTCTTGATCAAGTGGCTTCCCTCTCCCTCATCTCGACTGCCCACGGGGTTCCTCGTGGCGTTACAGGGGTCTCTCATGGCAAAGCACCGTCTGGTGGATTTGGCCGAATTCGAAGAATCGTCGAGCCACGATGATGCTTCACTCGCAGCGATGTGGCCCGAATGAAACGCCACTCCAAGCATCTGGCCTCTCTTGTTAAGCATGAGAAATCATTCGCACCATCCGGCTTGCCGGAGTCATACGGATGAAGGGGAGCAGGCCTTCTCCTCTCGGTTTATTGACCGCGAAAGAACCGCTACGCGACGGTGATGCGATGAAACAACAGCCACCAGCATCAAATATCTATAGCTGGGAGCAGCTTTGGCTTTCAAATCGCACAATGCTCCTGGCTCCCAAAACGCCATGTACATGGCATAAATCACACTTGGTCAGAATTCTCCTAGTTGTGTTTTACAACAGATGTTGCGCAGTCCCCCTGGCCAACCCCCCCCGTGTCAGGTTACCTTGCTTCGACCCGCATCACGTTGAGTACTACCCAAGGCTTACACAGCGTGCTGCTAACCGGAGATCTGGATCGGCTAGAGTTCTGGCAATATTCGACTGCATTGTCGTATTTAATATGGACCTGACCATTTTTTTTCGCTGTGAAAAAAGCGTCTCTCGCTTACAACAAAATCCAGCATCATGGTGTGAGTAATTCGTCCACCTGACCCTGGCAAAGGAAGTAATAGTGCCGAGTAGGAGTACTACTACTTCCAAGCCGTTACGCATGAGAGCTGCATACGAAAACAGCCAACAGTCAATCAGCCACCATCTCGTTCTCGGTGATACTCGTCTAAGGGAAAGCCTCCGGGCGCAGGTTAGAACGGTCAGTCTCCGACGCGATGCGATGCATGCTGCCGGCTTCGCTCCCGGTCGCCTGTTGTTCACACGTTGAAATGGCAATGCTTGACCCAACAAGCCATTCAACGCCGGAGGGCTGACCCCGTGTCGTGCTCGTGGGCCGTTCTGCGGGCAAAACGCAAACGCATAGCACTGCAACTCCACTTCACAAGTGAGACCGAGAAGTAAAGCCAATACGGAGTACCTAGGCCAACATATTTGGGATCTGCTTTCTCTCTCGGCCTGTGCTTCGCCGTGTTGCCATTGGCGTCGATGCGACGATGCGACGATGCGACGAGACCAACAAATCTATTGTAACTACTACCTGCCTAGGTAGGCACTATGTTGACGTGGTTTGCACTAAAAAAAAAGAATGAAAGAAAGAAAAGAAAAGAAAAAAAAGGCAACTAATACTAGTGAGACAGACTACTCCTAGTAGTACTAGCTAGTACGGGCGCTCACGTCTCGACACCAGTCGTTCGTTAAACAAGCACAAGCTCTCCAAGTTATCATTATGTCAATCCCGCTCCTAGACAGCTCGTGGCACAGTGGCGCCAAGGCGTTTGCCGATAGACCCGATCGAGCCAAAGAAGTGAAATTGCTTGGGCGGCGGGAACAACGAGGAGCTTCCCATCGATGCCAAGACTTTCTTATCAGCTTTCCACATTGAAAATTTGCCATCACCTCCATGGGGTTAGAAACTCTCCGTTCTAGCAAACATCTGGGGTTTCCCCAGATCTAGGATTGATAAGAACTCTATTTGCATCCGTCGCCCAGGCACGTTACGGCCCCTCACAATCACTATCGATTTGTCTGGTCGCTAGACTTGGTGCGATTGAGCGAGCAACCAAATCTGCACTGGTTCCGAATTTGTCGTTCGATACATAATGACATGAGCATAAATACGGAGTATATCCTTGCCATTTTCCCCCCGGTCGCCAATCGTTGGCCAGGTCGCGTTTACAATAAATGTTGGGTCAATTGCGTGATCAAATCCCACAAGAGATGATGCTCGAGTACATTGGAAACGGACCGAACGCGACGCAGTCAATCCACGGCAACGCCAGATGAACGTTTCGGTGCGCCATTTATTGCCCCGACAAGAAGCAATGCAAAGATATGGATTCCTCGGGGCTTGAATTCACTTTGCGACCTAAAATATTATGTAGTAAACGGCGTAAAGACTCCATCACTAACCACGCTCAGTGCCCTAACCCGCCGTAAATGCACGGTTATCGATAAAATACCACCATATACAGGACAAGAGCGGAACGGACACCAGAAACACGCTTACAGGAGCGAATCGCACAGTCAATCCCGAGATATTTCACCCATGCCAGCCATTCTGGAGACAACACCTATTGTGTAGGGTAGGTCCCGTTTGACGATTCTGAATGGTCTGGTGCTTGCATTGTTTATACCAAATGCGCAATGATATGCATTGTTATGCGTTAATGTGAGCGTACAGTAATCTCAGGATTTGTCAATCCTTTTCTTTTGAGACTTGAGTCTGGTCTACAAGAGTTTATTGATGGAGGAAATACCCCGTTGTGATGCGAATTACTACCCGAAATCGAGGCCCCGCCAAAAACAACCACCACCACATCATCCGTAGCAGCATATTGGCGACACCCCAGCCTGTTGATGAAATTGACATCTATCGAAGATTTTCCACCACGTAGGAGCCACCCAGTCGCCATCATCGCGGCAGTGGATATCCAAGTAATAATGGCAGCAAAACACGCTCAGTAGACCTTGGCTCTGCAACCCGGGCCATTTACTCGTCATGATAAAACCTTGCCAAATAAATAGGCTTCATACCTAACTGCCAGCCACAAGTTAAACAGCTGGAGAGAAGGCCGTAACCAAGAAACCTCGTGGAAAATCCCATCAAGGCTGGCCACTGGAATTTCTTATCGTATGGTGCTGATGGCTTGGGAGAGAAGCCAAGATATCATCATGTCAAATTCTCAGCCAGCCTCTGTCCAGGACAAGTCGAGGACACAGTCATCAGGCACGAAAAAGCACAGCGAGGTCCAAACTATCCGCTTTCCCAATGCGAGCAATTCAGAATCGCGTAGTACTGGGTTTATAGATCGCACGCGCTCAACTGGACTGGCCACGCGCCAGAATACTAACTCCCACGTTGCGAAAATGCACCGCTGCGCTCTATTTCGCCGACACGGATCCCGGCGGACGTGGCCGGCACACGATGAAACCCCCGACATCTGGGGTCTACAGCCCTCGGGAACGATTATTCTTAGACCACCACCCCATGTACGTACGACGCACCTCACGAGGAACAGAGGTATATCCCGGCCACACTGAAGGGTGAAGGGTCGAACCAGCAGCGCAAGTACCTCTATTTAGACGCAAGGGGAGTACATGCTGGTCCGGGGAGGAGACAATTCGTCATGTTGTGAGGCAAGCTAGCATTTGCTGAAGTACAAGAAAAAAAAAAAATTTCTTGGCCCCTTGCATCTTTAGCATGAGCCATGGACTGTCCAGAATGTGAGCCGAGGCCTCATTTGGTACTACATCATCGTATCAGTACCAGGTAGTCAAGTTGGTTGCAACGAGGCTATTCAGCCCATGCATGACAATGTCAAAACAATGCCATATCAAGTGACTCGACAATGGTTCTGGACATCCGGATCGATCGGGAAGTTACCCAAGGATCCTTGATCAAAGACACGAGGCCCATGAGGCAAAGTGGCCGAGAACCCCGTGGTGAACCAAGGGCTTGCATGTAGCAGCAAACTAGGCGAATCTAGAGAATATCGTGTAAAACCATTGGCCTACAGTATTCGCTTGGTGGGGTGTCTTTATCACTACGTTCGAGATATCGAGGGTCGTCATGGAATGTACAAACCCGACTGCCTTTCCTTTGGCTTCAGATGGCTGTATACACTTCCAACCTGCAGTCGGATCCATGGTTTCATCTACTTCCACACTACATCAAAACAGTCACGTCGGCACACGGCACGAGATCAAAGCCTGCATTGTTAATTCAACCAAACTGCCTAACGTGCTGTGCCACAACTCCTCCTTGGTAAACACTACCGAGGAGAAAAGCAAGTCTTAAGAGTTATATTGGCTGTCAGCAGTTTGCAGCTTTGAACCACTAGCGCCAAGAGAAAGACGACGTCTCCAACCGCTCACCGGATCCTTCTCCACTGTGGTGAGGAGCAAGTGCTGATAGGACGGTGTCTATGGCGAGCCAGAAAAAGAGCGTGACCTATCGAGGTATAATTGTTCAATGCCCAGCATCGTCTGTGACATGTCATCGTAACATGACTGGCAGGGACCAGTCACCGCCAGGCCGCGTTTGGTGCCTTTTGAACACCTTGCGCAAAAAAAGAAAGAAGCTAGGGCGGGAGGGGTATAGAACGGTGATCGTAAGTCATCAATCTTGAAGAGGGAAAGTGTACTCTTCTAGGTATGGTCCGGGTGGCTCGATCCAGTCCGGAATTTCCAAGGCCTCCCCGTCGAATAACATTTCTGGATCGTGATCCATGTAAGAGTAAGAGTCCCAAGTTGCTGCGGCTTCTTCACGAAAATCATTCTCTGTTGATAGTTGCCCTTCTAAGTGGTGTGTTGATGTGCATGTCGGCTCCTGAAGTCGTACCCGCCTAGACTGGTGAGATGGCGCGTCGCAGACGGCATCCCCAGGTTCTGACGGTTGAGAAGAAAATAGATATCCTATTCATTTGGCTTCTCATCAGACATTGTCCAGCACACAGCAAGAGCAAAATAGAAGACAGTTTATTGCAGAAGCTGTGGCTAAGCTTACCTTTGACCAACTTCACCTCTGAGTTTCTTCTTAAAAACCCTTGTACCCAGTGTTTGCCCAGTGGCTGGCTGTCTCCATGGACAACCAAGACGCGGCTGGCGAATTCCTCAAATTGTCCCTGAGTTGGAGGAACTCCAAGGGCAACAAGATGAAAGATCCAGCGGGACAACAGCTTTTCCTGTTGCCGTGAGAAACGCTGCCGACACTCATGGGCTTCGGCATGTGAAATGCCACCGTTGAGTCGGTCTTGCAGCGTTGCTCGTGGGATATGCCATCGCTTAGCAGCTGACCGTTGTGAAGTGCCTTGGTGGACTTCACGGACGGCTTCTTGCAAGTCCTTTTCGGTGTACTTGGGCATTTGGGGTGGATGTGCGGTGGAAGGGTCTGTCAGAAAGGGTATGTATGTAGGATGCGTGTGAATTGGAGGGTTGGGACGATAGCTAGGGGGGTGGGCAACGTGAACAGGGTCTGTAGAGAATAACCAACGACGAAGAAGCCTTGGGCAAAAAGCAAATGTTAGAGAACAGTCAAGTCGGCCATGATGGCCCGGACTGATGCGTGAAATGGCCAGATAATGGGTGAAAAGAGAAGAGGTGGGAGGTGGCCACTTGATGCCTCAAATACTCGCAGCTTTCTGGCAGAAGGGAAAAAGGCGGAGAGGAAGTCTGGCGCTGGTGATCGGAGGGGACAGACAGGAAGGGGGCAGGGAAGGCGAGGTCAAACCCCCAGAGTAGGGCAAGAACGCAAAAAGCACGGGTTACAGGTTCCGGGTTGGGAGGAGACCAGAAAAAACAAGTGAACAGCCAATCTGGTGCGAGCTACTCATCCCGAGTCGAGACAAGCCAAGTACAAAGTACCAAGGTACCGCAGAGTCACAGTCGCGATGACACGAAATAAAATGAAGCAACAGGAAGGAGCCGTCCGCTAGCCAGGTGGGCAAAGTGGGCAGGCGCTTCGAGTTTACGCGGGCCACGTCAATGGACCAAAGTACGGTCTAGTATTGTATAAAGCGAGTAATAGGGAGCACAGCCTGGGGGCACAGTCCTTGCACCCGGGAAACAGAGATCAGCGAAACTCTCCCATTCTCTTGGATACCCAGTACCTATAGGTAGGCTCCGGGTGTGGGAATGCGCCAGTTTGAAAAGGCCAGGGAAGCAGTACGATGCACGCCACGGCTGCCATTAGTCACCAGCACCAACTACTACAGCACTCCAAAAGCACGTTGAGCGCTCAGGCAAAAGGGCGGCGGGGCAGGGGGCCCTGGGATCATCTGGTCAAGTGCCTTGGGATGCATCACGGCTTTACGGCACTCTGTAACAGGTGCATTGGTCGAGGCGTGTGCGTTCTGGTGTACGTGGACGGCGGTGCTGGCGTGTGCCCAAGGTTGGTGTGTTATCCTCTCCTGAGGACGTAGCACGAACATGCTGAGATGGAACATTGAATACGTATTGACATTTGAAGGATAGACACGGCAGCCAAAGACTAAATACCGGCCCAGCATTATCCGCTGCCTTAGCGTCGACAGGGCACTTGTCTTCATGAGAAGATCCGATTTGACGACTGTCGACTGCTCTCGACGACATGACGCGACGTGTTGATTGCGGCGGTGCTGGTGTCGAGTTGCAGCGTCCGGCTTCAAAGGCTTTTCGAGACGGCGGTAACGACCATCTGCACATGGACAGCCATAGCCTGAGAGACACAGCCGACCCGGCCACAGCATTATGTCGCCCATCGACTAGTGCTATTACCAGACAATGTCGAGTCTACCCACCCATCCAACTCTGAGAGTGTCCATATCCATACACACATACCATGGCCCACCAATCTAGTTCATCGCCTGGGTCAAAACACCTCATACATCATCGTTTTCTGACGGCACGGCGTGCGAGGAGCCCGGGCTGTGGTCAGACCGCCTCATCGCTCATATGCATTTCAAACACGTTGAAATGGTGGGTAGTTTTGTGAGCCGGATCAAATGTCAAAACCGGGAAACGACTTGAAAAGGGGCCCCGCGACCATTTTCGTCACTTCTCTTCCTACTAATAAACACGAAAAAAGGACGACGACAATAAAAGGACATCCACATGACAGTGGGCTTTGTGGAGGATATGTGTCGTTCCGTTTGCGAACCCACCGAACTGCTCAATCTGCATCCAACAAACTTTGATCCAGACTGGCCCATTCACGCATCGGGACCAAATTGCTCCATCTTTTTGCCGCCGCTGGGTTCTCAAAACAACTGGGTACCATGGCTACAGAAGAAAGTCTCTCTGAACTAGCAGGGCTGATATCGCTAACTAGAATCTGCAGCTAGCGACTCACCTTGTCATCAAATGCCCGTCGTCACTCTCGGAACTCGTGAGGCTTGAGCCGTCAGCTGCAGCCGTTGCCGCGGGACAGGAACTGGCCGCAAACGAATTTTGACACAGTTGGAGACCGAGTCACGAACATGCAAATGCCTCAAACGATTCGAGTCGTATTCTCGATAGAAAGAACAAAAATTGCAGCGCTTGACAGCTGACTGACCAACACCCACCAGCTCCTTTTCAGCTCCATGCCCAGCCTCCTCAACTGCTGACTCTGCGTCTGCTATGCATGTGCAAATGTACATGCAGAGCCGGAGCGCAAATGATTGATCAATTGAAGATAAACTTCAGCAAGCATGGCATGTCGTAATCATACACATTCCTAGAGGTCTCAGGAGTATGCGGTGCAAGCTCTACAGTCACCCTGAGATGCATGAGGCTTGTTGATGGATTAACAAGCTTGCATCGCGCACTGTTTGGTCAATCAAATGCCAAGCATCATCTACCCTCAAGGATGCCTGGGAGGCCTCGTTCGGGACCGATCCGAAAAAGGGACGCTGCCTCAAACTGCTGCACTCCACCATTTGGGTGGAGCCGGTCTTAACTTTGCGGTTGGCGAAAGGGCTTCACAGTCCTTGTGCATCGCTGTGTAATGACGACGGTGGCCGTGGCAATGCCCTTTAGGCGCATGGCGTCTGCCCCATGCCAAGAGCATGACAAGTGAGATTACGGCAAGGAGTCAAGGGGTCAAGGAGTGGATGAATGCCACTGCAGCATTTCTCACGCGGTGGCTGCAATTTTATCGACGCCTTGGGGGTCACAAAATCCAAACACACTCCTAATCAAGCAGATGGAACTCATGGCGTACATCACACATGGAAGCCCAGGACCACACCACGCAAACGGGACCGGCCAGACCAAATAAGAACAACGGACAGTCACCGACTCAGGATGTTCGTACTCATACTCGCATCATTCCGTCCATTTGTCCCATTTGTTCTCGCGGGAGGCAAACGGGTTATTTCCACGCTAGGGCAAATGCTTGCAAAAGTGCCCAAAAACGCAGTTATCCTAAAACTACTACCATCTCATGTCGCCGATCAGCCACAAGCCGAGGACCGACTCCTCTGCGGCGTGATTGTTCCACTGTGTGTTGCTCCAGTCGCTGAGGTGATGGCCTACAGCGCCTCCCATCTCCCTGGACAGCGCGTACATGTTCCTGACACATATATCGCTCATACATGCTGCTCTTTAACTCTTACCTGAGCTACACGCAGGGTACTCGTACTCTGTTACTAGGAGACCTGGGACACTCACATCAGCTGCCGCCTTCCTCACCTTTCCCTCGCCTTTTGTTGCCGCCCATCACAATGAACTAAACGGCCCCTCACTCTATACTCATCTCGGACAAAGCAATTTTGGCAATAATGGGATGCTTTTTTCGTGGGTGTAAATCGTCAACCGCCCCGAAGCGTAGATCCGTTCCAGACAGCACACCCCGTCACCAGCCTTATTGTTCTTTTCCCCATCTCGTTTAAACCCCTGGGCCAAAATTCTGGCACGGCAGGACGACTACTCCGTACCATGACAACGGATGATGACGGCAGGTCCTTTGAACCCTGAACTAACCAACCAACACCCATGTGATTCTGTTATGCAAGTGATGACAGTGGCCGAAATAGAGGTAGCTGTGTCAAGCGAATATGTTACCAAAAACCGGCCAGGTAAGATGAAAGGCTGAATTGATTGTTCGCATTGCGACGGAGAAAGAGAACTATATCGGGAAACTTGCACCGCGCTGCTCGTAAATTTTGCGCGGTATTGCAGTTGAATTTTTTTTTTCGCCGCATTGGTTGAGCATATAATTGCCCGTTTGTGTGCTTCTGCTTTGCCAGCTCTTTGCTATGCGTAGTTCCCAAGGATTTGGATCGTTCACCACGTTGAACTCGAGCCATCCTGATAGACCTTTAAACCGGCTTCTATCTCATAGATTTCTTCTGTTCCCGATAACTTTTCTGCCTTAGACTGCTTTCCTTTTTCTTTTCTTACATTGATCATGTCGTCAGAAAAACCCGAGGACTCGCACGCTGCGGATCGAATTCGCTGGCGAGACGAGGAAGAAGGCCATGATCGCCAGAGAAGTCGTTCCAGACCTGGGCTTCGTCGTGCCAGCTCTACGGACTCTCTTGCCATACGGAGTGTCCATGGGAGAACTACTGTTGACCCGGCTGTTACTCTCCCTATTCAGTATCGTACCGTGTAAGTGGTGTTAGTGCTCTCGTCTCGCGCGGGCTCGATACTAATCTTCTCAAAGTTCATTCCAAATAGAGGAATCCAAAGGCAAGGAACGAGCAGACTTAATAAGGGCCAGCGAAGTTGCGGCCAAGGGTGAGTTTCCTTCCAATCACGACGCACCTTGACGTGTACTGGATTCTTAACCAGGTGTCACTACAGACCTGAGTGACCTGCAATGGCACACAATAACTGCCACCGAAGTTGCCGAGAGGCTAGTAACTTCATCCACCGACGGGTTGTCAGAGACCCAGGCTGAAAGACGACTCGAGGAGTATGGCAAGAACGCGCCGTCGCCCCCAAAGACGAACCGAATCCTTACCATATTGGGATACTTCTTCAAGGGCTTTGGCGGTATTCTTCTCGTTGGCAGTATTTTGGTCTTTGTATCATGGAAGCCTCTTGGAGATCCACCACAGCTGGCCAATCTGGTATGACAGAAAATGCTATACTCCCATCATGCTTTCGTGATACTAATATTATTCTGCTTTGAATAGGCACTGGCTATTGTTCTTCTGGCAGTCTTCTTTCTTCAAGCAGCCTTCACCATGTTCCAGGATTGGTCAACTTCGCGAGTGATGTCGTCCATAAAGGACATGTTGCCAGAGCAATGCCACGTCACGAGAGACGGACAGATGGTACACATGCAAGCCGAGGACCTTGTTCCGGGGGACCTTGTTACTATAAAAGCTGGCAACAAGCTTCCTGCCGACTTGCGCTTTATTGAGGTGTCGCCTGACCTCAAGTTTGACCGCTCTGT